GAGGACCCTTCTCGAAGCCAAGAAGCTGAGTGTTCGGGAATGAGACGGTTAAAAGTACCTTTATACTGTCCGGTGTGAGGTGCTTGTGTAATTTCGATTTGAATAACTACAACTTAGGCGATGATCTAATTTCTGGCGGAATATTGTTCCAAAGGAAAGCATACTTGGAAGCAAAGAAGAGGGAGCGCTTAAATGTAGTGCAAAGAGGCGGTGGCGGAATCACCATGGAGGAGTTGCGCGTGGCCTAAGACCGACCTCTCGTATTGAGAGTGTCAATGAGCGGAAGATTGGAGCTAGAGTTGATGCGAAAAGGGAAGCAAAGACCAGCTTCGAGTCTTCTAAACTACAAAAACTTTATGTTCGCCAGCTGACAGCTCTGGGTATAAGAAATACCGGAATAAGCTAGGGAGAACAGTTTCCGGGTGAAAATCCTCCGAACATTTTCGATCCAACGTCGCCCAGAAACGACAAACTGGTGCACAACCTGTCGTCAAAGGAGCTGACGAAGGATCAGATGCAGATTTTAAGGCACGAAGCTTCATTCAACACGACTGACGCCAAACCTGTTAGCATGATTGCAGCAGTGGAATCAATCCTTAGTCAGACGGAGGCAACGGAGGAGACCAAGAGCCTCATCCGGCACCAAGTGTTGTCTCTCCTAATGGCCCACAGGCCACGAGAAGTGTTTTCCAAGGTCGAACGTGATGCGCTTAGAGAACTCAAGGTCGACAAAGACTTGGTCATCGTGCCAGCGGACAAGGGGAGCTCCACGGTTGTGCTGGTCAGGACAGACTACCTTCAAAAGGCCAAAGGTTTACTGGAGGACCGACAGTTATATTTCCCATGTGCAACGAGCCCTGTAAAAGCGCTGACACGCGAAATTAATGCTACGTTGTTGGCCTTGGAGAACTCAGGTGCAATAAAACCGACCGACAGACGTATGGCGAGACCTCAAGATACGGCTTTGGCCCGATTCTATGGCCTCCCTAAGGTGCACAAAGACGGCGCTGCTCTCCGACCCAACGTGTCGCTCAAAGGTACTCCAACGTACGGACTGGCTAAGTGGCTGCTCCGGCGTCTCAAGTTCCTGACCGCTGAGTCAGACACCACGGTCTCTTCGTCAGCAGAATTCCTGGAGAAACTCAAAGGGGTAAGCATCCATCCAAATGAGGTCGTGGTATCTTTTGATGTTACATCCCTTTTTACTTCTATTCCCCAGGACCTGGCGATCGAGACAATCGAGCTGCTTCTACAAAGCAAATTCGATGAAACGGAGAATCGTCTTGGACGCGCCCAAGTCCTTCAGCTCCTGAAGTTCTGTCTAAGGACGTACTTCACGTTCGATGGGACAAGCTACGAACAGGTGGAGGGCACACCAATGGGTTCGCCGATTTCGGGATTCATCGCCGAGGCGGTCCTACAACGGTTAGAGTCGCTGGTCTTCCAACACCACAAACCGAAGTTCTGGACCCGGTACGTGGATGATACCTTCGTCGTTATCGACCGGGATCAACTGCTGACATTCAAGGAACGTCTGAATGCGGTCTTCCCGGACATACTATTTACGATGGAGGAGGAAGAGAACAACCACCTGGCCTTCCTGGATGTCCTCGTATGCCGCAAGGATTGTGGTGGACTAAAGACCAAAGTGTTCAGGAGAGCGACAAATGCGATGCAAGTACTGAACTTCAACAGCAACCACCCAATCAGTCACAAACGCAGTTCTGTAAGGACGCTCTATCAGTGTGCAGAAACGCACTGCAGTGAGCCGGAAGACAAGATTGCCGAAAAACGATACCTCCGACGGGTATTCTAAGCCAATGGCTACCCGCGCAACTTTGTCAACCAGTGCATACGCGAAATGCACTAAAGGCCTAACCGCACGGACACCAAAGTTTGGCGAGCGCTTCCATATGTCAAGAACGTTTCGGAAGCTGTTGGCCGCCTTCTCGCATCACTTGGGTTTGGAGTTGCACACAGGCCGGAGGCAACCATCAGGCGTCAGTTGATGAAACCAAAAGACCCACTGCCACGGCTAGAAACGCCTGGAGTCGTTTATCGGATCTGGTTCAGTTGCGGACAAAGTAACTACGTCGGAGAAACCAGAAGACAGCTCCGAACGCGAATAGGTCAGTATATAGGTCAGTATATTTTAAGAGTAATAGGCAATGCCTTTGAAAACCCTATTGTAAACGGTACATGCAATATCTCACTATAAATAAACATGGTACTGAAATTTTGTCAGTAATATACACATTTAACAGAATATTTTCCGTGAAAATGTAGAACAAAAACTTGTGAACATTCAGTTGTAGATGATTTCAGTAAAATGTTATGACAGTCATCCGCATTAGCGGTATGAGTATGCAAGGCGTTGGTTTAACACCACAGAGCTGTTCTGTTCAGACAAGCGATAGTGTCCAAGCAAATATGCATCGAGTCTTTGCTTGAACGTCTCCGTGGTACCCGCCATTATTACGTCCTCGGGAAGCCCGTTCCAGGCACCGACGACTCGCTGTGAAGAACAGTATTTGCGAACGTCCAGGCGGCATTGGGATCCTCTAAGTTTTAGAGAGTTCCCACACAGGTTTGTTGTTGTGGCCAGGGTGAAGAAATCGTCGGGGTTTAGGGCACATTCCCGGTTCCTCAATATCCGATAGGCCTGTATGAGATCTCCTCGAACCTGCCTATACTCAAGAGAAAAAAGTTTAAGTTCCCTAAGTCGGCAGTCGTAAGGTAAAGTCCTGAGGCCTTTTACAATTTTTGTTGCTCTCCTCTGAACTCTTTCTAGCAACTTATTGTCTTTTTTTAGCCACGGGCGCCACGCTTGGATTCCATATTCCAGATGCGAGCGAATGAACGCTCCGTATAATTTTCCAAATAACTCTTTGTCTATGTCCACGAAAGATCGTTTAATGGCAAAGAGAACACTAGTTGCTCTTTTGGACGCCCTAAGACACTGAGATGAAGGCTTAAGGGTCGACAGAATGTTAACCCCAAGATCTTTTTGTTCTGTTACATTTGAAAGGCACCTTCCACCAAGTTGGTAATGGTGATCCTCTCCGTAAGATCTTTCAGTCGTTTTGAGTCGCAGCGCGACGCACTTCTCTAGGTTAAACTTTAGCAGCCATTTGTCAGACCATTCGCATAGGCGGTTCAGTCCTTCTTGCAGGGCCCGTTCATCATGTTCGCCGTTGATCGCTCGCCATAACTTGATGTCATCAGCAAATATGACTCCATTGCAGTCCAGTCCATTCATACAGTCGTTGACATAAATTAAAAATAGTACTGGTCCGAGTACGGAGCCCTGCGGAACTCCACTCACAACTGGCACTGGTGTTGACTTCGCACTACCAATACAAACAGATTGTGATCGACCAGTCAGAAATTCCTTTACCCAGTTTAATAGGTTTCCCCTTATCCCTGACTCGCGGACCTTGTAAAGTAACCGGTGGTGTGGAACACTATCAAAGGCTTTCTTGAAGTCTATGTAAACGATATCGACCTTTGTTCCTGCGTCTAACGAGCGAGACCAATGTTCCGTTGAATGAAGCATATTAGTTAGGCAGCCATGCTGAGAACTAGCAAAGAAATTATTTTCTTCAAGGAACTTCATTATGGATTTTTTGACTATTCTCTCCATGACTTTGCAACAAATGCACGTTAGGCTCACCGGCCGATAATTGTTTGTACTTGTTCTGGATCCGCCCTTGTGAATGGGGTATATGTTCGCCACCTTCCAATCAGAGGGGAGAATGCCTCGGTCAAAGGAGGACCTAAAGATGTGCCAAAGCGGTTTGGCGAGTTCGCAAGACAACTCCTTCAGCACTTTTGCCGGAATTTGGTCTTGACCCGGAGACTTGCCCTCCTCAAGCGCTAGAAGTTCCTTCCTCACATCTTCTTCCGTGAAGTCGATGTTTTCTATTACTTCGTCTGTTGTCCCAGCAGGAGATCCAGCCTCGTCAAAGTCCGTTTCATCGGTGAAAACCGATACGAAAAACCGGCTTAGGTTTTCTGCCTTAGCGTCATTTTCGATGATATCCTCACTGTTTTCTCCTTTCAACACTGCAACCGTCTCCTTGTGCTTTAACCTACTGTTGATGTAACTGAAGAGCACTTTTGGCTTATCGACGGCCCGTTCCATAACTCGCATTTCATACTCCTTCCGTGACCTGCGGATAGCCCCCCTTACCTCGTTTCGCTTTCGACGAAATTGCTCGTAATGGGATGGTTGTTTTGTTGTTGCATACCTACGCCATAGTTTGTTTTGAATGGCCGAACATGCTGCAGCGGTCGGAGAAATGACGCCAGCTCTCAAGTTGCGGCTCATTCGACGGGTTCCGGCCACACATTCAAATTTGACGAGGCCGAAATTCTCGCAAGAGGTGACAGCCGCCTGAGCCGGGAGCTGCTTGAGTCAGGGTTTACTGGCCCCCAGTCTATTAACAAGTGCAATGATCTTCCCATTCAATACAGTGTTCTGAGACTTCGTCTAGGAGGGGTAATTGGCCACGCGGGGAGCGCACTGGTGAACACTCTTCCCAACACCCGGGTCAGCGCGTCAGATGGTCGAGCAATCATCACACCAACATCCAACGCACGTGATGGAATTGCAGCACTTAACGACGCGAATGTCGGCCATCACGCCACGTGCAACGATCCCTGATGAAGGGGAGGAAGCCGTGAATATTCATAGGTATGCGGTAGTATGGTTACTGCATCCTATAAATACTGTAACCGCATGTGCATGAGCCATCCTTATCTGCTTATGTCTCTGATGATGGATTCGAGCAGGAATCCGAAACGTCAGGCTAATAGAGCTCTTGTCCCAGCGATCTTGTCTTCTTCTTCTTCTTCTTCTTCTTCTTCTTCTTCTTCTTCTTCTTCTTCTTCTTCTTCTTCAAGATTTTGGATTTTATTACGGTCCCAGGCGCTCATTAAATCAAAGAAAGAACAGCAGTATTCGAGGACATGGGTTTTTTGCTGTATCTTATGAAGAGTCACAGCCAGGCCGATGTGTGAGGGCAAGTTGGGGCCGAGTCCACATCGCTGGATATGGCAGTGGTAATGGTGCGGGTGGTGGCTGGCAGGCCGTCGGGACACTTTGGTTCGATTATGGGAGCGGGGGCCGTGGTGGTGATAGTCGGCGCCGCGGTGATTTTGACAGAGATGATAGAGACGACGATGGTCGACAGCAGCGAGGCACGGAAATTCGGAGAAGCGGTATCGAGGGTGAATGTCGTCATGGACGCAATGGCAGTTGAAGCAAGTGTGGTCGTTAGTCAGCAACTGGGGTTATAGGGCGATTGGTGCACTGGACCCGGAGATGTCCAACGAGCCAATCCATACGCGCAATGTTAGTTGAAAGCGTGAACATGTCTAGAGGGGTTGGATGTTGGCGTTGCAGGTCAGGGGCGCCTGAGACTTGCCAGCTTCCCTTTTGACTCAGGCAGCGGCGTTTCGGTTAGCTCCATAGATGACTACTCCAGTCTTTACTCTTCGTCATGCCAGTTGGTCCGTTGTGAGGTCTTCCAATGTTATCGGGCTGGTCTATAACCATTTCAATGAACTCCTCAAGTTGACTTTGTAGCGACGTGTCCGATCTCCTGGGCGGCGAGCACCCGTGACGACATCCTCGAAGAAGAGTTGTTTGGTAGGCGTTCGTGGTCAGTTCTCGCGAGGTGGCCGCTCAAGCTAAGTTACAGTTGCCTCGGCATGGCGTGGTTGCTGAGGCTTCCAGTCCGTTACGAAACTTTTGTGTCCCGGGTCCTGTCTTACCACCCTAGCTCCACTATCTGTTGGAGGCAACTGGGATGGAAGTGATTGGGCTTCCGCGCTTGTTTCTTGTAGACTGTTCATGTCTTCGCATGAAACAGCAGTGTCAATAGGAGGACATCTTCATATATTTTCAGTTTGGTGTGGAGGTGGAGGGCATGACGATTTCACACCTGGTCCTGCAGTTAGCCAAAGGATGGGCTGGCTTTCGAGATCCGATGAGTCAATTCGTCCTCGATTTTGATGTAGCGTGAAAGTGTGGTGTCTAAGTGGGCAAAGTCGTTCAGAGTCTTCAATTCGGTGCTGTCGACGTGAATGTGAGGAGCATTGTATGCAGCATTGGGTGGCGGTTGTTGCATGATAACCGTTTTGTCAGTGTTTGTGGTCAGCCCAAAGTTAACATACGCGGGATCGAAGGGGTGAATGCCCCTTTGCATGTAAGATTCAGAAGCTGCGTCTGGAGCGCAGTCATACGCGAAGAGCAGGTCGTGTACAGTAGTCGTGGGGAAACGCCTTGAGGCCTGCATGCGCTGGCTGTCGATGAGGTGTCCGTCTGTCCTGCGGACTCCGTAGAGCTCATCATAGTAAGCGTCAGTCAGCTTGGCGGTAGACAAGAGGGCGAGCAAGTACGCCTGCTACACTCCGTTGGCTACTGCGAATGCTTCAGAGACGGTCCCATTACCCATGACATGAGCTATAATCCGGGCGTGGAACTGACACACCATGTGCGTGAATCGCTCAGGACAGCCAAATTTTTTGGCATGATTTCCCACAGTCCTGCGCGATTTACAGTGCCGAGGGCTTTTTTTGAATGTAAGAAGGTAGCTTAGAGGCGGGTCTGCGTTTCCTGGTTTTTTTCTGCTACTTACAGGCAACGAAGATCATGTTATTGGTTCCACGTTGACAGCGCAAGCCACACTGGCTTTCCGGGAGAAGTTGTGGCTCGAGATGGCCGTTGAGGACGAAGACCGTTCCAGCGATGTTTAGCAGCGAGATTCCTCTGTGGCCATCACATAGTTGCCGGTTCCCTTTCCGTTTGTAGAGATGGACGATTATCACATCCTTGAAGTCATTAGAAACTTGTCCTCTCCGCCACATCTCCTGAGATAGCGTTGTGAATTTATCCATGAGGTAGGGGTCGCCGGGGTTGTGGATTTCTACTCAAACAGCGTTAGGTCCCCGGGCTTCCCCGGTGGACAGTTGGTACACGGTGCAAATTCCTTCCGGGAGAGAAGGTGACAGATCCAGCTCTTAATTCGTCTCCACCTGGGAAGTCGGTCGATGGCGACGTCTGTGATTCTAGGCGGGCGGTTTAAAAAGCCTCTGATGTGTTCAGCCAACGGTCCAGAATATCTGACTAGTCCATCAGAACAGCTATTTCACCGGATTTGGGAGGTGTGGCGGTTCCTTTGTTTGGGCGACCGTAGATAGGCTTGAGTGATACGAAGAAGTTATTGAGTTCCTGGCAGTCGACGTGCACCTGGATCTCCTCAGCCTTGATGGTTATTCAGGCGTCCAGCAATCTCCCTCAGTCTTTGCTGCATGCCGCGACGATAACTGAAGAAGACTGATTTGCTGACGTCGATCCGGGGATGTATGTGGAATTTCCGCAGCCTATGCTTTTCCGCAAGCAGTTGGTTGATGTCGGCGGCGCTGTAGTAGAACCAGTCCTTATATCGACGACGTGAGCGGTCGAGGACTTCCAAAGCGGTCGTGTGGATAACAGTCCGCAGTCGACACGACCAAGTCTTCACAGTGACTTTGTCATCCAAGGCTGGCATTTCTTCCAGGTGTTGTGATTATCTATTGCTGAAACGCAAACGGTAAGCAGGCAAAGACAACAGAACAGTATTCAACCTACCTAGTGGCCGCTTACTTTGTAATCTCCTGAGGGGTTTCATTCGGAGCCTCAGCTTGAAGAGGATAAGGCAGTTGTCGGCCCGGCTGTCGGTGTCGCAGTTCGAGAGCGACTAGCGTCGTCCTCCGTTCTGGTCGGTTGCTTCTCAGATTTTTTGAAAGAGAACGAACATTCCAGCCGACTCACTATAGCAGCCCGTAGGGTAAGGAATGGGATGGGAAAGGGTACTGTTGTTGCCTGTTTGTTTGTTTCGACCACGAATTTTACACCTGCAAGCCACGGTCAGCATGCAGAGGACGTGATCCGAGCATTTGTTTAGGGCATCTTTGCCAACCTCTTCTTCTGCTAGGAGGTGAGCAGTGTTGTCCCTAAACAGGGCTTGTAGTGGACAGTCATAGTGGCAACGTTGCGCTGCTTGCTAGCGCCTGCACCTACGCCCTAGCGACAGCCTGCTATGGCACGCACGTCTGCCCGACATCGATTTGTCTCGTTACAATTCACTGTCTGCACCACGCATCTGCTCGATTATCTGCCTGCAACATGCGAGACTTTTCACTACCCTCGCATGGGCTCGGGGCCAATCAATGAAATCCCTCTCGGTGATTGGTAACACAGGGGGAAAAGTCCAGTCCACTAGCGAAAACAATCTGCCACGACACTTGCAGCGGCGACCTTCAGCGACACAAGGCTCGTCGCTCTCGCGGACGCCGCCTCCGCGGCGCCGGACGCATCCTCGTTCGGTTGCTAATTTCCCTTTACTGTTATGTACAGAATAGATAAAATCTTCTCTCCAAGTGGCGTCTCGCTTCTAACAACTTGGGATTTGGTCTGAAATTGCGGCGTACTGAGCGCAAACCATCACCGCTTAGCCGCTACACGCTGCTGAGGCACGTCAGACGGCTGCCGGGTTCCACTAAGGGTCACGACTTTGCCTGGTGGGAAGCGATGCCAGTTAGTCTAGCTCGACTATGAGATTACGTGTCGCTCTCACCGTAGGGCTTTCTATAGTCGGGAGGGGGGGTGGAAGGGGAAGCAGAACTACCGGACCTGAGATACACACTACTGTGGGACAATCTCACATGGTTTACCTTGTCGGTCGGGAAGTTACCGGGGTGTGACCGCTAGCCAGAGTCTAGGTTTGAGGAGCCACAGGTGCATAAGAAGTAGACTGCGAGCGTGTCATATTTTCTAGTGATTTCAGGATGTGGAAAGTTATCCATAGTGCTGCCGACGAGAAGATGTTTCAAGAAATTTCCTGTCCATCGGAGAAGTGGTCTGCAAATAGCTCCTGTCGTTCAATATGAAAAAATATACCATATTGCGTCTCGGAAATTGGAACGATGCCTCTGATATGCGGACCGGTCATTTAAACGGAAAGCCACTCTAACAAGCAGAATCAAAGAAGTGTCCCGGCATTTTCATCACAAATACTTCAATAACTATTATTAATGCGGCCAAGGTTGCAACTTCAGTGGTATACGCAGACCAAACTGGGGTTTACAGTGTGCGATGACAGCTGTCTCCCCAAAGTCTTTGGAGCGTTTGTAAGACCTCATCCTGAACACGCTACCCAGGCCTGGAGACTCTGGATGCGGCAAGACTACAATCTACTTGAAATGGTTCAGAGGCGGGCCGTCAGATAAGTCCGAGGTCAAGAATCACCGCCACATGTGATTTACCTGCCTAAACTTAATCGCCATCCTATGAGTGATATCAAGTGGTCGAGGCCTGATAGAAACTTATCGCGAGGTGCGTAATTTGGAATTTGCCCTCTTATGTGGGAACTTCTTCCAACTCGCCACTATTATCATTTCCAAGACCATCTCTCCGAATCACTAATGTCCCAACTAAGATTGAGTAGGAGAAAATATCGTGCGGTGCAACCGTGGAATAACCTAGCAGGGGCGATTATTATGGCTGACTCTGCGATAGCGTCGAAACATCGCCATGACAGATATATGCTGCAGCAAAAAGGGGACCATGTGTATATGTGGCCTTAAAAACTCATGCATCAGTGTGAAGACAAATGTCTTCTATTTGCCACCGTCGTTAATCCCTATAATTTGTATTTGGTAAATAAGTAGTTGGAAGGCGAAAACCTACATCCCTCGAACACACTGAGCCAAACAGAAATAAATTCGTAACAACAGGGAGTTTTAAGTCAAGCTTAGTTTCTGGTGATCCCTCAGAATAGTAAGTCGACAAGGTTGCTGGAAATAAAACGAAGCACACTTTAACCACCACTATTGCGCGGTTGTTGACCTTTTTCTGGGTCGAGGATTTCCACCTCAAGGATGTTAAGCACATTGGCGTCAGCCTTATCATGCTGGCTTTGGCCCCTTTACAATGATGTGAATATCCGCAGATGTCAGACCGTAAAAAAATATCTGAACTGGTTTTCCCTCGGACAGGACATGCTTTAGAAATTTGCAGCTGTAGAATCCACTCCTATTCGTTTGCAGAACTTAGTTATTCACTGAAAAACAAAAGTTTCAAAAAACATAAAAGGTCTTGAAGCAACACAAGTGAATCAATGCCTGAGGCAAAAAGTTATTGCATCAGCGTGCAAACCGGACACTTGAAGGTCGGCAGGACTCGGAGCTTAAATACTAT